TCGGGGCCGTTCAAAATATCGTCATATAGAGGATATCGCTTCAAAGGATATGATTATCTAATCCAGTTATCTATGCTACTTTGTACCCTTGATGTCTCTTTTATACTCCCAATTGCCGTCTCTAATGGCTCTAATACGCCCAAATAGCTCGAATTGAGAGAATCTTGACTCTTAGTATACTCAATCATTATTTTCAGAGCCACTTCGGCCTCTTCTACTATCCGCAAAGGGTGTTCGACATTTACTACCTCTTCTTCTTCGTCTTGGTTTGCTCCCAAATGTTCCCCTATCACCTCTTGTAAGATCGTTGCCTCGTCAAGCATCATATTCCTTTCTTCTTCTTCTTCCTTCTCAATTGAATTAAGAAAATTTTCTATTACCATTGAATCTCGTAGGTCTCTTGCTCTGACTATCTCATCGAATAATTCAGAAAGTCCAGTCGGAAGTACAGATTTAGGAAGAGTAATTGGTTTGGAAATAAGAGTCTATTTCCGAAAGCAATCATGAATCGTTGTATTTGTAACTTCGTTATTCCAACTTTGTAAGATGCAGCGAATTGCTAGTCGAATATTGACAGTTGATTGTGGATCTATACCCTCTTCAATGGCTTGTAGAACAAAGCGGAGCCAGTATCGTCTGTAGAATGCTTTGCAGTCCTGAATAATACCTTGATCAAGACGTTGGTACCGGCTTGTACTACTAGCTGGAAGCCAACGGATCTTGATGTTTGACGGAGGAGGGTAAAATTCAACGGCAGAATAATGAGCAGAAAAATTATTCATTGTCAAGAGTACATCTCGGGCATTTCCAAAGTGGCGATAGAATTCTTGAAGCCATTCGCCCATAATTGCTGTGTTCATCCATGCTACGGAATTCCACCTCCACTTGCCACCCATTGTCTGAATACTAACGTTTTTCAAGGCCTTAGGCGTCTTTTATTTGCCAATGATCCAAATAGGAAGTCGGTAAGAGCCTGTAGCATTTTTACAAAAACAGAGAGAAACTCGGTCCTTGCTTTTCTTGAGCCCGGGTCGAGATTGTAACAATAGCCCACGTGAAGGTAGCAATTTCCAAAAAAGACCTGACTCATCCATAATATATATGTTTTCTTCCTCAAACTCTCCTGCAATTGTCTGTAAAGCTTCCATTTCGGCGTCTGCAGCCGCTGGAATGGAACCAACTTCACTATGTTGTACCCGATTCTGAATATGGTTTCGATTCTTAAAATTCTCAAGCCAGCGAGGGCTGAATTCAGGGTACGGTTGGCTAGCGTGCTGTGGTAGTTGTGTCCAGATCTGCTTTGCCTTCTCACAGAGCAAATCGCCAGTTGTGATCCCTCCTCCTTGTTCAACTCGTATTTGCCACTTCAGGAGAATACTCTCAATGTCAGGCCAGTTTCCAGCTCGCTATCGTAGCGCAGTATTACTTGTAGCTTCGTCGAGTTTCGCAAAGGTCTTGCTCAAGGACTCGGAGACTGTGGACTGGCTTAATCGATGGCCGTACTCAGCTAAGAACCACTCAATGCACTGTTTTATTGTTGCTTTTGGGACCTGGCGGTGCGCCCATAGTCGCAGAGCACGTCGTTGCTCTATAGAAATTCCCTTTTTTGGCGGCATTATTAGCACCATTCTAACAAAAAAAAGCCTGCTCAACACGATATTCAGAGGTTGAAGAACGATAATCGTGTAATCGGTAAATGCATGACAACGGAGTCCATTCTAGAAAATATATCGTATTAACGGCAATATCGTCTTAACCATGATCGGCTTAACAGAGATCTTACTGTATCCCTTTTCACGGGCTTAGATTTACGGGGATGTATATTTCTCTAGAAACATGTCTAGAAATTTCTTGTAAATCTATTCTTGGTCTTACCAAGTCTATTCCTATGATCTCCAACTTAAAATTTGCGCCATTACTTGTATATGCCTACAGGTAACTTTTTCATCTATTGGCAAAAATTGAACACAACCACATACAAACTTATTGTTAACTTTTAAGCTATTCAGATAGTTTTAGCTGTCCTTCATAGTCATAGACTCAGTAGGGACATAAATAAAATTCTATTCTATTCTATGCCTACAGGCATTAACAGTGTCGTGGGCTCAAATTGGATGCTTGGGTAGGGTAATCCAGAGTTGTGGTGTGATGAGCTATCACAAAAACAGTAAGAACAAAGTGAGATTGCCGTAATACAGTCTATCTTCTAATTATCTAGGAAATGGTATCTATCTAGGCTGTAGGATATATATACATGTATGTGTGTTTGTGTTTATTGTGCTACTTGAGTCTATGACTATCTAGCACATTGGGCTCCTCTCTGGCCCAGGCCACACCTTGTACAGCGCTCCTATCCTCTTTTGTTACTTGAAAGATCATTGATATATTCCCCTTGATGAATAGCCATTCAGCTCAGTATTTACCCGTGGAATTCAGCCACCTTTTCCACGGAACCTTCCACCCAAAAAAAATAAAAATGGTAGCAATGGAAACTGCGTGCGCGGGAAAAAGTCTCAAAAAACCTGCAGCCCCAGCAAGGCGAGGCCTAGACACCGGGACCACATGAGGTGCGCATATTCATCTGTATCTCCCTTCTTTGTAACAGTCGAGGTCGACTTTATCCAATCCACTATCTCCGTATCAGGTGCTGGGTCCGATCCGGAAACTCATCCGATAGCTTCTGCTCCATGATCAAGGGTGGGTGATGAGAAGGGCTCCGACCCTACCATCTGATCTGATTGTGGTTAGATTCATGATAATGGTGATAGGGGAATGTGCAGAGAGATGAAAACGATACAGACCGCGGAAGCGATTGGTAATCCTCGTCGAAGTGAGGACTTTGTTACTCAATTTCGGCTCTGCAGACTCTACAGTGAGAGCTGGAGGTTCGTAAAGGACACCGCTGACAGGTGTAGAGAATAGTCCTCCAATATATACACATGTAGCTCTGACCCCAGGGAGGTTAATATCCATCGGATCGATGATCATCCACATTCTTGAGGTGATCTATCGACGATTCGTATTTGTCAGTTCAGCGATCACTTATAATCTCATAAAGAACATCGGCGATTAGTCCACAAATAAGCATAAGTACATGGATATAAGGCGCAACCTGTAACATGTGGTCACAGTAAATAGAATAAATCAGGCCAAGTATAAAGATTTGATCAAGTATGTTTTAGGATCGATCATGGGGTTGAAGTAAAGAGGTGGTATAGAATTGTGTATCGTTGCTTCGTGGGTCAACTTGGATATCGCGAAATCTGACTGGAATCAGCTGTGTGGGAACGTTCCACTATCAAATTCGAAGAAGCGCCGAAGAATAAGTGTTAGAATTTTGTCCTCCCAAAGGAATCTCGAAGTTGTTTACCGTTCACGCACCAAATTTCTCCAAATTTCCCGGAGGACTACACTCGACACCTGTAAGTGATATCCCCTACGAACCTCCAACTCTCACCGTAGAGTCTGCAAAGGCTAGATTGAGTGACAAAGTCCTCACTTCCATGGGGGTTCCCAATCGCTTTCGCGGTCTGTATCGTCTTCATCTCTCAACACATTTTACTATCACCTCTATCATGAAGCTAACCACGATCAGATCAGATGGTATGGTCGGAGCCCTTCTCATCACCCACCCTTGATCATGGAGCAGAAGCTATCGGATGAGTTTCCGGATCGGACCCAGCACCTGATACGGAGATAGTGGATTGGATAAAGTCGACCTCGACTGTTACAAAGAAGGGGGATACAGATGAATATGCGCACCTCATGTGGTCCCGGTGTCTAGGCCTCGCCTTGCTGGGGCTGCAGGTTTTTTGAGACTTTTTCCCGCGCACGCAGTTTCCATTGCTACCATTTTTATTTTTTTTGGGTAGAAGGTTCCGTGGAAAAGGTGGCTGAATTCCACGGGTAAATACTGAGCTGAATGGCTATTCATCAAGGGGAATATATCAATGATCTTTCAAGTAACAAAAGAGGATAGGAGCGCTGTACAAGGTGTGGCCTGGGCCAGAGAGGAGCCTAATGTGCTAGATATTCATAGACTTAAGTAGTACAATTAAAACAAACAGTGCCCTCCACTTCATCCCTATCTATCTTCCTATCTTTAGCTACGAACAAAATTTATCTAGGGGCCTTGGAAAAGATGTGTCTGCTTCATTATCCCATGGTTTATGTATCACAGATGAAAAGTTTTGTGACGAGTACTTCTAACTTTATGGCTCTTTTGATTTACATCATGAGCATCCAATTAACTATTTATGATACATTACGATTTTATTATTTAACTTGATGAATCTTAAGATTTCATACGCCTTCAATCTGAGTTACATCACCACACGCCACCATAATGTTTATTTGTCTCCAAAGAATAGCCACCATTCATTCGTGTGCATCTACATAAGAGTAGCCCAAATCCCTCTTGTTGTCTAAGTAGGTATCGGCTGTCATGTGCTCGATCAAGCCGGGAACTAAGGTTGGGGTTTGTCTGGTTTTAATCGGCGATCAGCTATTTCAAGTGACTAAGTGATAAGGCTGTTCACAATTTTTTGAGGATCAGTCCATTTTGCATACGACAGTTATGTCTCACAGTTGGTGCATATTAGATCATATACAGATACACTCAATTCGTCACTAAAATAGATGATTGGCAGTTGATTATTGTTTGTGGACTTTAAGTTAGACAGCCGGCTCTACCACTTGTAGATCGTATTTTCTAATTTAGACTTGGATAGCATATATAGGTCCTCATATTACCTTCTGTAGCCTGAGGATTGACTTTGAAGTATTTGTCGGCGCAATAATTATAATTTTAAAGGTATAAATCGATTCTCAAAACTTTTGTCTCTGGGTTGAAATTTGATAGAAAGTTGTTTCCTATCGCGTGAGCCGATATTACTGCTCAAAAGAGCCCATGGAAGATATTTTGGAGTGGTTAAAATCTGATGCTCTTTTCCCATATTCTCCAGCTTTCCATAATTCCTAACGCCATTACATTGTAGAAGCTATCTTCCTTTCCCGTACTCTTCTTCTTCCTTCAGCCTCTCGGCTTGAATTGCACGCCCTAGGCCTCCCCGACCCTCATCATACTCTTCTCGATACTCATCACGCACTTGCCCTCCAGATTTTCCTCTGCCGTACTGCCGACCTTCTTGAAATCCGGGATCTAAATCTGTCCTTATGATGCGCTCGTCAAGCTTTGTGCCACCGATATATTTCATACAGTCTAGGGCATCTTGATGGGTGTAGTATTCAACGAAACAGAAGCCACAAGGTGTCTTGTTGAATCTATCTAATCCCATAATTAAACGCTTGATTTCTCCGCATTTTGAAAAGAGCTCATGAATTTGTTCCTCTGTAGTGTAAAAGGACCTGATCGAATTAGCCCATCTCTCTTCTCAAAGGTCTACTCACAAGTTCCCTACGTATAGCGTTGCTGCATCCTTCAAGGGATCATCATCCATTTCTTCCTCTGCAGCCTCCTGGTCTTTGTCATCTCCATCACGGTCATACGTGCGTTTCTTCTTCTATTTTAATATGGTAAGAAATTGGGTCTGCGTTGTGGGTAAAAATTTATCCTACTCTGCTCTGATAATATGCACTCGGCTTATCAAGCCGGTCAACGGTATTTCGAACAGCGGCGGGCATTTTGAATCAGGATCATGGTAATTATTGTTGCTTTCGTGTTTGCGTACTAAGAGTCGCGCGGTACGCACTAGCGGCTGATCCATTAGATACGCTAGAAATTGTTTCTCCGAACAAACAGCGTCGCGCTTTACGAGATACTTCGCATAAGCATGATATAAAGAATATTAGTCCTTCAATCACTGTAAAAACCAAGTTACGGATTTTTATAGGTTTCATCCAATGCCAAAGGTAATCAGCTTTACGCCCGAATGGCTATCAAGGCCAAACCCTGTCCACGACATTTTCACGGGCCCTGAATTAAAACTACCGCCTTCTAAGCCTACTGTAACCTACGATGGTGCTGGAGCGAGTATCAAGAGAATTACCAAGCCAGGGCCACGTAGGAATCTTGTTCGCCGCGGAACAGAAATATTTGTGGCAATTGGGAAGGAGATTCGCTGGACAGATTTGGCTCGCCAGAAAGAGGCGTGGGAGAATCTCCAAGATATGAAATACTCATGGAAAGAAGATGAACCAAGCACTTACAGTAGCCAGTCTAAAATTACCAAATCCCAAGCGTATAGAGTATGTTTTTAGCCAGAAGTTACACCGGTGGCAAGCTTACCTCTAGTCCAGACATTCAAAACTCCCGTCGCTGAAGATATTCGACAATTGATTATTTCTCCGAATGAGAGTTACATGGCAATCCTAACTACTCACACTGTCCATATCGCCATCCTACCTGAATCAGCACAATTATGGTCACCCGATCCCGATCCCCTGAGGATGAGTTCATATACATTAGGTCCTACCACTCACGTCACATCACAAGCAGGAATTGTTTCAGTTATTTGGCATCCCTTAGGAGTAAACGGCTCTTGCGTGCTCACAGTAACAGAAGACGCTATAGTACGTGTATGGGAGTTAAGTATTGGCAATCATGGCACTTTTGATAGACCGACACTAGGAATAGATTTAAAAAAACTGGTAGATGGAACAACTATTGACCAAGACTTTCGGGCAACGGAATCAAGTGTTAGCAAAACATTCTCGCCTGACTCATTTGAAATGGAGGTTGCGTCTGCTTGTTTCGCAGGGAAAGATTGCGGAGGATGGTCACCCATGACATTGTGGATTGCAATGAGAGCGGGTGATGTTTATGCTCTCTGCCCTCTGCTCCCAACAAAGTGGTCGCCTCCTGCATCGCTAATATTTTCTATATCCGAATCTATTGCGGCTAAAATAGCTGCTAGTGAAGACGATCCGCTGATATCGCAAAGAGAAAAAGCAATCTTCCAACAACAACTGGTTTGGATAACAGAAATTGATGAGCAGGAAAACTTCAAACCCGAAAATGTAACTGAAGAATCAACAGAAATAATCTTAAATAGACCATCGAAACCTGGAAAAATTCCGAGGCTTCAAGGACCATTTGAGATAGAACTTGCTCCCGAGGATACTTCAGATGAAATTGATGAGCTTCTAAGCGATATCCTCGTCATTGGTTGTCATGGTAGTCATGAAGAATCGGGGTACACATACCATCAGAACACAGAGAATGATTTTGATAATCTATCTGTCAATGTTGTTTGTCTGTTATCAAGTAGTGGTCGTCTCTCAGTCTGCTTAGATCTTGACGGAGTCGAAGCTGAATGGCTTCCGAAGTCGGTATCCGAGATGATGGACCCCTTGGAAGAAGATGAAATTCCATCACTTCTAACATTTGAAGCTATGGACATGCTGATGGAAGCCGAAATCTGGCATGGGGACTGGCCTGTTTTCAGTCTTGATGTTACGTCTCGTTATTCTCTATTCGTCACAAGTGCTTCAACTGTCAGTTTTGTTGACCTTTCTCCATGGGTATCCCGGCTTGAAGCCGAATTTGAAGATTCATCAGCAGGCTCAGACTTTCGCATAAATATCTTAGCAAAGAATAGAGGATCAATAAGAGAAAGGCTTTATTCGCAGAAACCTATCAGTAGATCATTACCGCTCAGTGCTAGTGTTTTAATACGAACGCCTGACCTCGGATATTTCCTTCTCACAACCTCTCCTCACGGACCTACAAGTTTAATTTTCGAGGAACCCGAATCAAGTCTCGAAATCTCAAGACCAGCATCACAATCACTAGATTATGTATTCAAGCCGCAAAGGCCTCAAATAATTTGTGAACCACGACCGGTATATGTGCCTTCTCATTCGCTGGAGAAAAGTCACAAACTCCCAGAATTTCTTGACAGGCTAAACCGCAGCAGGTTTAAGCGATTACTAAAGGAAGAGGTCCGCTTATCACCCGCAACGCTTTGTGTCATGACCGAAGCGCACAAAGTCCTGAGCGACGAGACATATCGAATCGGGACTGGAGCCGCAGAGCTTTTTAGACGATGCGAACGTCTTCAAATTGATTTACTTAGCCATATCAAGAAAGCAAATGAAGTAGCATCACGAGTTGATTCAGTCGTTGGTGTGGATCACGCCAATGGGACCTTCAAGAGCAGAACAGAAGCAATAGCAGAGCGCTTCGACACTGTGAAATTCAGGCAAAAAGAGCTTGCTGATAGAACTGAAAAACTTCGACAGAAAATGGCCCGGAGCATGAGCCAGCCTTTGAGCGAAAGAGAGAAATCATGGATCGAAGAAGTTAATAAGATCGAGAATAAAGTTCTAGGCCCCGAAGAGCGCCAAGAACAAAGAGCAAAAGAGCCCTGGGCTCGATACGAAAATATCTCTTATCTGGCCAAGACACTTGTTCAGCAAGTCGCAGATCTGACAGATCATCAGGAAAAGCCGGTACCACAATTCAGGGTGCCTGCTGATATCAAGAAGCAAAAGCTGAGGCTTGTTCAGTCAGCGCTAGATCGTGAGACAGCGCTCGTAGAGGCAACACGAGAGAGGCTACACCGCTTAACGGCAAATCCATGACGCTACGAATGATCTATGTACGTGCATTTGATTATCTTCATATACTGGCTAATTACGTGACTTCATCTATTCCAAAATGACTTATCGGTCTAATTCTAAGCTTTTTATAATAGCACAAAATGCGCTCAAGTTGATTCCTCTCTCCACAAAGCAGTTCGTGGCTAAAATATGTTTCTAGCAGCCAAAAGAGACTTTTAACTTTTTGGTCACAAATTTTTATTAATCTACTTATAACCGTCCATATAATTACTTCTCTCGAAAGTCCTATCATGAGAAGCCTGTGAAACACAAAGTCTCAACACTCAATTTAATTTTTTCATCGCCCTTTTCATGAAAATATCTGCCTTTATCCTCGTCAAAGCAGCCGAAAATGAGGAGCTTTACATAGGTTCCTATCTATTACACGTCACTAAATAGTAAAATATACTGGCTTCAATCTAAATTAATACCATGACCTGGGCGCTTTACGTCTCTGTTGAGAAAAATGATCAAAATTCAAAGAGATTCTGGGCGAAGCAGTTTAATTTGCTAATTTCTACAAGTTTAGGCGCACGAAAACAGTGTTCCTTGATACGGCTGTTGAGCCACTTAATGACCAGAGGTAACGAGCGTCTTTGAAGCCTGATTACGGACTCGATGTTACGGATAACAGGAGGAGCTATCAAGAAAGTACTCTTGATCACTGAAGCGAGTAGGCTCTCCAGGTATCCAAAACTCTGATGATGCTTTAGTAAATCATATGGCCTTGATCAAATGGAAATCCAGCTGGCAAGGGTCTGAAAAGCTACTTTCAGCCCTATTTATTGTTGTAGGCGGAGATTAATTTTGCTTTACTCCAGTGTAGGTGCGAAATATATAATGAAACTCCCACATTACATTGTCACCTGTTATAGTCTATCGAAAGTTTGGTATAAAACACAATTTTATGCGATAGTCCTGTTCTTTTTTTACATCGGTATTCAAGGGATAGAATAAAGGTTTATTCCACCCTGACAGGACTACTGAAATAGTAACTATAGTGACGTGAGGGAGTTGGTTCAGGCCAGGTTTGAGTGTGCAACTCCTTCAAGAGTCTTTTTTTTAGAACACAATTTTAAAAGTAACCATTGTGGAGGTGGCTATGGTGAAAAAGGGTGATACGGGCAGCTACGATAAAGCATAATAACCCTGATCAGACTGGTAACATATACCGATAAATATCCGATTTGCCTCATGCATGTACCAAGAACATTTAGTATAAAGATTAGTTGTTGTAGATAGAGGGTGGGGAATCGAAGGGTTGGAAGCTGTTTCGAGAGCCCATCATTATTATTTTTCTTTGTTGCACAGAAGAATACAGCCACGCTTAGACATATCCGAGACGTCCATCCAAATGTGTAACTCATAATTATTTCCTATTTTACAAAGAGGTTATGCGGCATCTATCACCCACTTGGCACCTAAAACTCTACAATAGTTGCCCATTTCTGATTTCTAAAGTAGAAATCTACTCGTTGTGGCTTGACTGTCTTGTAAGCTATAGAGTATACATGAAGATTAAATTATGTAGGTCACAATTAATCTTACACAAGGAGGGCAGGACTGAACACCTATACGCGGTGTCCTCTACGAGCCTGGGAGTGAAATATTCTTCCAGAGCCAAGTTCAGTCAAATTTCGCAATATCAAAGAAGTTGGCCCACGAGGCAAAATTTAAAATTACCCCACCAAGTCAAGTTTCCACTCCCAACGAGTTTGACTCCTACCTAAGTCTCTTCAAGTCTACAAGTACGACCTAGTACACCCTCATCCCAATGACCACACCACTCTTCGACCTTCTCTGGCCTCAGTTGACTACCAAATACACGCCGATATCTACACCCGATGGAGGAAGCAAAGCGTGGCGCACAAAGCCGGGAGACAGTTCTTTAGGATGGATATGAGAGGGATTAGGACAGGTTCTGTTTTTTTGCATCAAATTTTAATTGCGTTTGCAGCTATCTAGCTATGACACAATATCAAAGAGAAGTATAGAATAGATGATTCAACGTAAGGGAAGAGCACTCATGCCTCGGATTACATTTGCAAGTGCCACTGCGAAGTTATGGCGGCTTTTTCTTCACCCCAAGTCAACTCTCATCCGTGAATACCCACCCAGGGGAACTTCTCAAAAACCCTGAGTTATCCAGACATGCCTCCGTCATCCAACAACTTTTCTCCGCGCGAAATATGGTCTGAGACATCTTAATCGACTTTGAACTTGATCGTCGACTTTGTATATTGGTCTGTTTTCACAGACACGGAAATAGATTCATGAGATTGCTTTATGAGAGGCTAGGATTGATTCCGATATAATTTGGTTGAAGACTTGTCCTACAATTTAGAGGCTACAATGTCTTTATATATCTACGTATTTACCCCCATATTCACCATATTCGCTAGCCATTCTATATCTAGCGTGCATAGCCTGATTTATCTCATGGTTCTGGGATGGAGATGTAGTTTCCGAATAGCAGTATTCTTTTAGCTACTACAATACGTGGCAGCTTCAGATATAGTTTACCGTTCGACACTTCCACCTGAGCTACATGCTTCCTCGATATGCTGCCGGCTCGGTAATCAGTGAGATAACCGAAGCTAAAACTTAACAATAAGCTTAATTACGAACCCATGAATACCTAAGACAGAAGTGGAGGGCGAAGGCTGAACACCTGTCAGTGGTGTCCTCCACGAACCTGGGAGTGGAATATCCCCCTAGAGCCGAGATTCAGTCACGAAAAAGGGTGGGATGAATTTTATGTAATGGATTCTCGGCTTGAAGGAGTTGCACTCGATATTTTGGTCGAAAAATCAGTCGGCAGAGATTTAACAGCCGGAACAACGTCGAGCAAAAACTCATCACCACTAACGTACGATTCACGAATGGGCCTAGGTCTATCTGGGGGTCGTATTCAAACATCCGACATCTCTCAAACTCCTTTTATATTTGTGACGAAGCATTTCTCAGTCGATCCTATACCTGCGACCCACTTCCATACCCGTCCGATCACCTACATACACACGCCCTAATGAGGAAAGTTATGATGGAAACGGGACGTGTATAAAGGAAGAAGAAGAGGGAAGATACACCGAGGGGATTACACAAATCCCCAATGACGAAAACAACTCAACCGTACGATATGAAGGTGCAAGGCTCGAGCAACGATGAAATTTTGGACGGCATTTATATTTCGGAGTCAATGAGGATGTTAAGGGCTCAGGCGCGTGGTGGCCGAGGCTGAGGAGGAAATTGCGCTACGACGTGTATACAGCTGGTTTCTGGACGGTTAGGCTTGACATGTGTAACGGCTACAAAGCCGGTATTTCCTGTAGCCAGTACTGGCAAGTACTGGCGTACAACCATCGGGGGGTGGGCCGGCGCAATAGCCTTGCAGAACATACTAGTATCATCGTCGAAGTTACTAGGAACCATATTCTCAGAGTTGCAACTGGAATTATCTAGAAATGAACGGACCTTAGATGGAAGGGCTTGGAACGTAGTTATCTGTATAAATACCTGGCTAAGTATCCACAACTTAGTTCTACATAGTTGAATTGTTAATATACCATCATCCATACAAATGCTCCCTGCTTTCTATAGTTGATCTGTGACAACATGATTCAACACATGGGTGGAGTCTGAGGTGGTCCTGTCATTTAGGTGGGACGAGGCACTTTTACTTTACGGTAGTTAACCTGATCCGGTCCGGCCTCACCCGTGCTTAAGCTCCAATAGGAGTGCAACGGTAGTCATGTAACCTAGCACGTTAATGAACAAAACAAAACAAAACCTAAGACAGAAGCCTGCAATCTAACACAATTAGGTTAGGAATTGCCAACTACAACATAATCCAAACACATCCCCTTCCCAAGTGGAGTAGGTGCCCAGGCTACTCAAACTATACCGGAAAATACCTCGGGACAGTTTCAAAAGACGATGCAAAGGAAGGATATGCCCTCGATGAGCGTGAATTTTCGAATTTTGGCAAGAGTTTTACGAATTGGGCTTTGTGCGCGCCAAGACTTCGCTTGCGAGAGTGCAGTTGACAGTATAAAAACAAGCAAGTGATGGAAGGTGTTATGGTCCGTCTCCTGGTGGTGTTCTCCGGTATAGTCTGAGTAGCCTGGGCACCTACTCCACTTGGGAAAGAGATATCTAAGACCATATTTCGCACGGAGAAAAGTTGATGGATGATGGAGGCATGTCTGGATAACTCAGGGTTTTTGAGAAGTTCCCCTGGGTGGGTATTCACGGATGAGAGTTCACTTGGGGTGAAGAAAAAGCCGCCATAACTTTGCAGTGGTACTTGCAAATGAAATCCGAGGCATGAGTGCTCTTCCCTTACGTTGAATCACCTATTCTATACTTCTCTTTGATATTGTGTCATAGCTAGATAGCTGCAAACGCAATTAAAATCTGATGCAAAAAAATTACACAAAAACCGAACAGAGAGCGCCACATGAAGCTGAGTAAGAGGCAAGGTAAAGCCGGGGGATTGAAGCAATGTAACAGCCTTGTGACTCCTGACTACAAGTAAGTGTGTGACAAGTACTAGGCCTGACAAAGAAGTCTCACGATATGGATGGAAAGGAACAAGTAGTGCAAGTTCTTGATAGGTATAATCGGAGTTCCCTTCACTCAAACAAGTTAATTATTCAGGTTTACAACTATCAATTTAGAGACCCATCGACTACCTTTCCTCCTGTCGCTTCTTTAAATATGAAGTGCTGCAGGTTAAAGCCGTGAGGTTGGTATTTGCCGCGCCAGCACTACATGGATGAATGGATGAATACTTTTTCGTTACGGGCACAAGCGTAGCACTCCAAGAGCAAGACACGGAGAAGGCTAGTCCTCCGAAGACAATATACGACAATAGCTCAGCTTGATATTTAGACCACTCTCGTAGTTGGTGCATTTGCTGATATCACTCGACGTTAGTTCTTGGGGCACGTAACTTCTTTCATTAGTATTCATCATCGAGA